TTATATATATATATATATATGACCAAATGATATACCTTTAAACTGAAGGAGAAAAGGCCAATAGCTTGACATTACATCCAAAGTAAAGAAAATGTAAATATAAAACCTTTAATTAAGCATTTTCTGATGATGGACAGAAATAGTTGTCAACAGAGTTGTCCCTTTAAATAAAAATGGGACAAGGAACCACACCACTTTCATATATTTTATACACAACTGATCACTGATTTCATGTAAGAATGGTATGCAGAATTATGGCACAATCAAACACAATTTACTATATATTATAAGACAAAAAAACAAAACAAGCATTCTCTTCCTGTTACTATCAATCTAGTAATTATCTACCAAATGCTGATACAACACATATATATGTGAGGCATTGTGGTTAAATCAGGCACTTGTCAAAATAATAGAATTGAAGAAACCACCATTTTTCCGTCTGCTTGGCAAATTTTATCAACTTTTGGGGGTTTTTTGGCTTTCCACCTTTCATCTCGATTTAAAAACACATTTCCCTGTAAAAAAAACATAGACTAAAGGCACAAAAGAAAGCGAAATTTCAGCTTCCAAGGACTCTCAAACTTAAGATCCAGCAAACTTTGGCGGCCATTTTCTCACTAATTTTACCTATGAAACCAGGCAACCCCCCTCCCCCCTCTCCTTCAATCGCAAATATCTCGACTTCTATTCATGATAGATGAGTATTTTTCCCCATCGAAAGCAACGCAAATGAACAGGTTTTAAGGGTATACCAAAAGTTTTTGAACTAAAAATAGACAAGATTCCACCTGATTCCACCATGTCGTGGTACATATTATGTCTGAATGGCATAGACTTGGATATTACTCTATTACTACATTTGGTTACAAAGATTTATCATAGCATCTCTTGCAAAAAAACTTATGTACTCCTGGTTTTGGACAAGACAAAAGAGGGCCAACATGTTTATCAAAAGGTGCTATTCGCAAAATCCCTTTCTGTGATAGTAATCCTGGTACAGAGTCTACCAAGAAAAGGGATACACGTACCCAAGAACCATACTGAAATGTAGGTCAAACTAATAAATCATGTTCTCCGGAGCGAAATACGAAAAAGTCTGTCATGGTAACGTAAAAAGCATCCTACAAATGTAGTTTTCGTAACTATGGAACAACATTTCTTTGACAATCGGAAGCACAACCACACAATACATATTTGGATAATTTGGATAAAATGTAGCATGGAAACTAAAAGCCTACAAACCATCCATGGCACACATGTCTGCGTCGGCTTTTAAAATTCTTCATAGAATGGGTAGTACTTGTGATCCAGAGCTCTATGGAGAGACAAAATCAGAAGATAGATTAGTAATCCACGATGAAAACTTAATTTTAAAATACTGTTTTATCTAGTTCCATGAGACACACAATATATATATATATATATATATATATATATATATATGAAAACAGTTCTCACGTTTTTTCACTTCTTTTCAATTGGCGCTCATATGACCTTATGCAGTTGCGAGCCCCGTAAAACCCAATATATATATTGGGAGAGTTGTACACATTTCGAGTGACAGAAACCGTAAAAACACAATATATATTATTAAATGATGTTCTGAACTAAATTTGTCAAAATTTATCTTTTTTGTCTCCTTTGAGGAGCACGTCAGTAATATTATTTTCTCCGCATTTTTCAATCAACAAAAGTCCCTCTTAGAATTGTGGGATATTTCTGAAAAAAAAGGTACATTCTTATATTTGCATTACAGAGAGTGAGTGTAGAAAGAATGAGTATTGTCAGAGTATAACCCTGTTCCCCACCGGACGCTGGTGGAAGCGTCCAGTACTAGTGACAACTGTTTCGTTTCATTTAATGCTAGTTTTTGCTTGTTTTTCGGAACTATTCCTGAATCAAGTTTTTTAGTAATGACAAAGCCTTTCTTTGTTTCCGCTATTTAGAAGTTGGAGGCAAGCTTTTGGGGTTATAAATAATGAGACATAGTGCATTAGGTTTAGGTGACTTTAGAAAAAAACTCCGGGAAACATTAAAAAAAACCTCAGGGCTTAAACAGTTACGGTAGACCACTAAAATGGACATCATTTTTCTCAGAATCAAAAGTTCTACACAACGATAGCAACTTTCCAGTGCTTTGTGAACTTTGACGAAAATCAGTGCGGAGTACACATACATTTACAATAAGTTGAAAACCCTAATCATATCCCCACAATCTATACATGTATATATATCATACCGTTCACAATATGGGGCGAAACCTTCATCTTAATAATCTTATGTTACAGAAGCAACTAATACTCTAGAACAAAAAGATCATCATCATCTAGTGCCTGATCTGCGACAGACATCGGCGATCATGATTCTCCATTCATCCCTTTGCTCGGATGCTCTCAAAAAAGCTACATTTCCCTGTTCTTTCCCTGCTACCCATTTGTTTAGGTTCCTCAAGTAGATTGTTCTGAGCCTACCCCTGCCTCGTTTGCCTTCAATTTTGCCAGTGAGAGCTAGATGTTCAAGACCTTTATGCCTATTCAGGTGTCCCAAAAACTGCATTTGTCGTTTCCTGATTGTTTTTAACATTGACATAGCGCGTCCCACATCGGCTTCATCAAGCACTACCTCATTTGATTTCTTTTCCTTCCGCGATACTCTTAGCACTCTCCTAAGAAACTAAATTTCCGTTGCTTCTATTTTATTTTCAATGTCTTTATTGATTGTCCAGCATTCACAGCTATATAAAAGGGTGGACCATAGATAGCGTACTCACATTTTTTCATCATATCCTCTGTATCCTTTGTTAAGACTAGTCAGTTTTGTCATCTCTTCTTCTGAAAGCTTGAAATCAAACACCTGCAATAGAGGAGAAGAAAGAACAAACTCAAATAAAAGTAACAATTATTCAACCATCATCTGTGGTGTAACACACAGAAGACCTGAGATCAATTTCCATGTGGGGAGAATTATTATCGGGTACATGTATATCCGTCTTTCTACTGGGACGTTATATATCCTTCCCAGTCTCTCAGCCCAAGTTGACTCTGACTAGCCAGTGGTTTGCTTCTTCTTTCCCATCAAACACCTATCGTCCTTATCTCCCCTTTTTCTTTCTTATGTTTGTTACTCTCTTGTAACACCTCTAATCTTCTGGCACTCATATGACCTTTAATATGCAGTTGTGAGCGCCGTAAAACCTCTACTAAAACTAAACTGACTAGCAAGGTCAAAGCCAGCCTCCGAAATGATCTAAAATATGTCAATGATAGCATAAAAGGGACCCCCCCCCCAAAAAAAGCATAAAACAACTCCATCAAATTGAAGGAAAAAAAATCTTTATCTAAATTCTGTAACCTTATACTCACATGACTCAAGGATTAGGAATATAAAACTTAAAATGAAGGAGGATAATTATAAAGAAATAAGAAAGACGGAGGAGAGATAAGGATGATAGATGTTTTATAAGAAAGATGGAAAAAACAAACCAGAGTACCCACTAACCACCCTCTAGACTAGCTGCTTAAATTATCAAAACAAAATTATCCAAAAGTGATAAGAAGGTAAATTGTTTTAGTAAGAGTTTCACAGGACTTGCAACATGAAATAAAGGTCAACTAAGTACAGTGGAGTCCACTTATAACAAGTCCTGAAATAACGAAAAGTAAGGTAGACAGACAGAAACCACCCAGGGAAAGAAAAGAAGTAGCTAGTTGCACCCTCCAACCATCCACCACTCAGTACGTAAATTCAATGAAATGCAGGTAGCGTCAAAAGAACTAAAGTACCTTACCTTGATATTCTCCTCAATTCTTGATGGCGTTACACTCTTGGGAACAGAAGCCACGCCTTGTTGAACTAGATACCTGATGGCAACCTGCAACCACACACATACACACATGTGTATAAGTACAGTAACAGCAATAATATCAGGTAAGTTTTTTAGTAAGAGTTTGTCATATCAGTGTCAAAGATTAGAGGTGTTACAAGAGAGTAACAGACACAAAAAAGGAGGAGAGATGAGAACGATAGATTTTTTAAGTCGAGATATTTGCGATTGAAGGAGGCAGAGATCGGCTAGTGTCAGAAGTAAACTTAGCCAGAAAAGGGACACCGAGGTTTGACCGTTCTTGGAAACTGCAAATTTACACATTTTGTGTGCCTTTGATCAACTTCTTTCAGTAAAATCCACATAAAAATATGTTCTTTAAATGGACATATATATAAGGCGTTGAGCAAAAACAAATTCGATAAAAATTGCCATTTAGATGAGAAAAATGCAGACTTTTCGATTTCATTATTTATTTGATATGCCTGTCCGCGTGGTTTTATGCACCCGGCATAATTTAGCAAAATTTTTTTTTTTTTGGGGGGGGGGGGGGGATAATTTCCCATTATTTTCCTGTATCATTCTTTGTTAAAATTAACAGAATCGCAAAATTTCACATTTTTGGGCTCAGTTTGCATAATTCAAGAAATTTGCATGTATAAAACGACAGGGACAGATATGCGCCTGATCTGATATCACCATGATGTAGCATGAAATAATGAAAACATCATCACACTCACCTGGGCTGGAGTTTTGTTGTGAGCCTTTGCTATATCTTTCAGCACAGGTTCGTCCAAAAGTTTTGTATGGCTGGGCCTGAAACACATTAAAAAGATAAAAAGATCGTACCAAAACGTGAAAATTACATTATACTCAACACCTTTGGCTCAAATAATGAAAATTTTCTGTTCCTTTCACAGCTCAAACATTCAAAAACAAAAAATTTTTTTTAACAACTTGCAGCCCCAAAGCCGAGACAAAAGCCCCAATAACAAGCAATGATAAATTGTATCAGATTCGTTGTACGCGAGAAGTCTATTTTTGCGACAACAGCGATATGCCTGCACTCAAGGCCTAATGCAAAGGTATCGAGCCCACGACCTAATGAATGAAAGCCGAACACTGTACCTGTAGATCACCAGAGCCGTGTCTTTAGTAAAGGGTGGCCATACTGTACCGTGTTGTGTGTAGAAGTAGAAAATTTGACTTGACTGCAGATGTACAACACACCCGAGTGACCTTGATACACAACTGCTACAATTGGCGACCAATTAAATAATAAAATTCCAAAGATTTACATAATATCGCATCAAATCAGGTTCCCTGCGAGCTACTCAGCTTATTTTGAGATGCTGATTCTGAATATGAAATCAATTTTAAGATGCGCTAATTATCTTTAAAACTTTGAGCCCTAAGTTTAATCCTGCGCGGCGGCAAAGTTAAAAGTGATTCTACGTCACAGCGCGTCTCCCCCAAATCAGATCGTGATCGTACGAAAAATATGAAGCAGTGCTTGATTTCTCGACCAAGCCGTATGATGGCTAGATCGTCCAGTTTTTGTACAATTTATCTGTAAGTGTAACCGGGCCATGTAAGCCTGAAATTGCATCAAAGGAGAAGGAAAATGTGAGCAAAACCAGCACAACAGCCGCTCAATGCAAGCAGTGTTGCAAAGAGTGGTAAGGAATCATAACAGCTCCCTGAAACAACATTCTGAGGTTGACAGAGTCAAGACCATAATAAATATATATAACGCAATCCCTTTGTACATCATTGATGTGGCAAGTGAAGACATCTCTATAGTTTTGACATTCACAGCATATGACACTCGATATAGAACGATGTATAGTGATATGGAATGTTTTATGAATGATATAGAATGTTGAGTGACATAACTCGCTTCTCTGACATTCATATAACATTCTACATCACTCAATTTTCTGGCATTCATTATCACACTGCTACTTTGACATTCATATAACATTCTATATCATTCTACATCACTCACTTTTCTTACTTTCATAACATATTCTATACCACTCACTTTTCTGAGATTTGTATGACATTCAACATCACTCACTTTCCTAATTAGCTACAATTCATTTTCACAATAAATAGCGACAGAATATAAAAGCAAACAGAAAGTATGACATGCCACAAAACCATATATATAACAACTCAGCGCATAAAAGAACTTTACAAATACACAGCGGATTATAATTACTAGATTTCAACCAACTATAAAACCATCAGTAAGCTCCACCTTTAATTAAAAATACCAAGCAATGAAATAAATGACACGCTGGACAATCACCCTGGACATTGTAATCTACCACAGATTGTTTGCGAGGCTAAGTTGTGTTGATTCGTCATTGTCACACCAACCCTGAAAAGACATAGAAGCAGCAAACCAAAGAGGACCAGCCATCCAAACAAAGTAAGAGGAGAGGAATAAATTTCCAATGACTTACTCTATACTGGGCGTGCTGAGGGGGGCGAAAGCAATGGGCACAATCCCCTTGGACTTGGCAAACTCGATCAGCTTCAGGTTAGTGTTGTGGCAGTTGACTTCAATCTGGGAGACAAATAGTTTTTTCCTATCAATATTTCGTTTCACATCAAAGTTGCGTGCTTGAGTTTTTCACTGCTACTATTAAGCACGTATCTTGGGGAAATACAAGCTTTTCACTTGAAGCCAGTATGAAATGAAGATTTATATTTCATATTACCTATAAAACGTAGTAGGCAATATTTTGTTTAGCGTCACAAATACAATGGAAAAACATATTTTTAAACTCTTGTAAGCCATTTACTGTAATAAGACTAAGACTAAAAAGAGGATACTTTTTTATTTTTTTCTGACTACATTTATAATTCAAACTGCTGCAAATTCCATTTTAAAAAATAAACCCAAAAGAATTCTGAAAAAATCAAAAGCTTGAAAAGAGCAATGGACATGTGGATTTTATATTTTAAGACAGTAGTTGCAAAAATTATTCATAGAAAGCATTGGTAAAATATGTCCAAATGCAATCATAAAAGAAATTTGTACTTTATACAGAAGGCGTATATCAAACGCTAGTGCAAAAAATATTTAAAAACTGAAATGAAACCATGATACAATGAATGACGATTATCTTTACAGTTTCAATACATATGGGTTAAACTAAATTTTGAATAAAAAAGAATCAAGACAAACATAACAATTGCCGTATGCTGAGTATGATCAAAACGTCTCAGCTCACCTGGATAGCCACAGGAGGAACTCTAGCAACCTCCAACAGTCTAGTGATCTGTTTGCTGTTGAAGCTGCTCAGACCAATATCAAGAGCCTTGCCCATATCTCTGCAGTCCTCCATAGCCTGAAACAACCACGATCATGTTAATCATTCCCAGAAAGAAAACAAAGCAATTAGTATTCCTTCTCGTAAGCCAATGAGCATAGTAGAATATCAACCAATTACACAACAAAAATTGAAGATTGAAATTAAATAAGGACTAACTGCTGAAATATAAGAAATTATAAGAATACATTTTTTTTGTCATTGGTAAATTAACCAGTTTACATCTATATGTTTCAGAGAGCAAGAAAAACAAATCAGAAACCTTTGAAAATAATAACAAACTAAACAGAAATTGCAGTGAATGTATAAGGGTTAGTTTTTCCCCTTTTGTAAATGATGTTTTGTGGTTTTTTGCTCATGCTCCAGCTGTTGATGAAATACAGTTGTCTTTTGATGATTATTAGCTTGCTCAGAAGTTCAGAAAAGACTTACAAACACACACTGAATGTAGAAAGATTAAGAACAGCTTTTGAAAATTCTTTGTTCATTTTTTTCCACTGCTTATTTAAACTGGCTCTGCTACAAGAAAAATTAGTAAAGCCAATTTTGTAACGACCTTGCAAAGCAGCATCAAACAACATTACTAATCTTTCTTGCCAGTTTTGGTATGAATTTCTTAAATAATAATGCGCATGTTACACAGTCCAATTGAGTCTAATTGAGTCTAATGGGCTTCTCGCGCCCGTCATATTTGTTAACAGCATAGCTTGGATAAGGTCGCCGAGTCAAACTTTATTCCTACAAAAATCAAACTTTTAATATGGCCACAGGAAAGAGACCTGTACCTCAAAGCATTGTTTCCCTGACCCCATCACACAGATAATTTCTTCAGTGAGCTGAAAATGTCCTGACAGAAAGATTTCTATAATGAATATACTTCATAGTTTGTTGTAGTAAGCGTTTTATGCCACTCGCAAACAGATCATTAGAAAGAAACAATATTAACTTTTTTAGTTTGAGTTTAGAGAAGCACATCGACACAATAATGGTAATTTATTGCTGAAAAAAAATAATAACACAAACGAACAGAAATAACAGCCGCGAAAGTAAAGAAGTAGGACCCACCTGTAGTGCCTTCCTACCACCCGCAATCTCAACTTTCACATTGTGTTTTTTTTTAATAATTAATTTAACTTTTTTTTTTTTAATCTCAAACAGAAAGACGAAAAATAATGAAGAAGACAGAATTGTTAAATAACACAGAACAAACGCAAACAAAAATATCCCACTATAGTCATAATGACAAAGCCCTTTAGAGTAAAAACACCAACAAACTTACCTGCCATGTTTCCACATAGTCAACATCAGAGAACAGAGTCTTGCCATTCTCATCTTGTGGACACATATCTCCACCCTCCTGTTGAAAAAATTGTACCAGTTAAGACATAGGACTATCTTTAAACAAGTTTACTGAAGAGTCGTCATTGAGTTAAGAATTTTAACAGGAAAAAAAAGTTATTTTCATCAAATTTTTCACACAATAAAATGAAGCAATACACACATAAATGTGAGGCATGTTGAAAAAATGAGTTAATTCTCGCAATCCACGACCGAGTAGAGGTGTCGGCAAAAAAAAGACACATCAAATTTGTAGCTTTTAGACGGATCGCATTTCCTTCTATTAAACCGTTATTTATTTTACCTTTCAATCTAATAAATTGTACGAACCCAACCTAAACATTTCGTCTATCTGTCGGAGTTCATGGGTTGAAAATCTGATAAATAACTCATTTCGTCAGTACGCTTCACAAATGTCACTTTTATGATCAACTTTCTATTTCTACAAGGGTGGACATCCCCAAAAACAGCCAAATAGATAACATCAACAATGCAAATGACAGTACATCTTTTTCCAGCCCACAACCTGGGAGTGTACCCAACATTCCTCCAGAGATTGTCAATGGTTCTCTTTCCATCTCACAAAAGACAGTGAGGAAGACCACATTCCCATCAAAGCTCTACAGCCTGAATTTTTCCACAGTTACAGGGAGCGCCCATTAGCGCAATCGGGTCGGGTCAAGTCGGGTCATCAGGTTGGATCGTTTTCTGGTGGTTTCAGTGCACACTACAATGCCACCACGATCGTACCCGACAACCTGAAGTTAAAGTAGAGAAACTTTTAACCTCAATGGCTTCCAGGGCTTCTTTCCGCAGTTCCCTGTTGAAGTGCTGTAGCAGCCTGGAATCCCATAAACATGGGTTACATCGACAACTTTCTATTGTCTTCTCTAAGTCAATGGACTCCATTGTTGTCAATTGATGACGGTATTTCGCAAGGAAATGCCCGACCGTAACATCGCAGAGTCAACATTGACACGTGACTCAGCTTTGTTGTGACTGGCAACAAATCACCTGATCGCGTGACTTGCAGGCCTGAAAACAAACGCGTTTGTTTTTGAAGGTCACCGACCGAGTTGCTAAGTTTGTGCCACCATGGTCCCATTGCGTCCTCAATTTGGCTAGCCTCGACTACCAAATCGACCCGACCAGACCGCGCTAGTGGGCACCCCCTATTACTTTGAGTATATATATCTTGGGGGAAAAGAAACTTGTGAATTCAGAAGCCAGTGGGAAATGAATTTACATAACATAGGCCTACATGTAGTATAAGTGCAGTATGCAGACAATAAGAATTACTTCTCACAATCCATAAATGAAAACATCTGCTGAAAATCAACACAAGGGTCAAATTTGTAGATTCACAACTGATGCCAATTTCTTAAAGTTACCCATACCTTTTTTCATTTCATCCTAATGCTTTCTTGCCAGGGTAAGATACTTAACATTTTAACGTCACCAATTAGAAGAAGCTCCCTTGTGGTTTTTTGCCTTACTTTTTTTGATAGGATTGGTGACACACAAATAGTTTCAAAATCTGGTCTTTTTATGCAAGCAGACTGAGAAAGGGTATGTGTCCCATCCCCCTCCTCCCACCTCCCCCCCAACCCCCGACAGCCTGAGGGTAGCTAGAAGAGGTGTGAGCAAAGCCAGAAATAAAAACAACCCACTAATAAATAAAATTATCAAACGCTAACAAATAGCTCTAATCATTGTTATTCATATTTTCTTATTGGTCCTTCTTAAAGTTAAAGTATCTTTGTACCTACTCAGTCACATTCTTTTAGTTTCAGTGAGCGTTTTACGGCACTTTCAACACAATAAGGTCATATAAGTGTCGAAGATTAGAAGTGTTATAAGAGAGTAACAAACACAAAAAAAAAGGAGGGGAGATAGAGACGATAGATTTTTTTACAGGAAAGAAGGAGCAAACCACACCAGAGCACCCGCCAACCACCCACTCAACCACATCCCCCCCCCTAGCCTCCGTACCCCATCCCCCATACAAACAGTCAAGAGTACGCCTCCAATACCTTGTATGCCATGGGCCAGTGCATGAGGTACAGGTCCACGGAAGCCACACCCAGGTCGTCCAAGGTTTTCTCCAGATTGGGGAGGACAAGGTCGGGTCTGTGACATGTGTTCCACAACTGGAAAATAGTCAAATACAGTAGTTTAACACAGATAGCTTGTGTCTGTGTGTGTGTACATGTGTGTGTGTGTGCGTGTGTGTGTGAGTGTGTGTGTGTGTGTGTGTGTGTGTGAGTGAGTGTGAGTGTGTGTGTGTGTGTGTGTGTGAGTGAGTGTGTGTGTGTGTGAGAGAGTGTGTGTGCGTGTGAGTGTGAGTGTGTATGTGTGTGTGTGTGTGTGTGTGTGTGTGTGTGTGTGTGTGTGTGTGTGTGTGTGTGTGTGTGTGTGTGTGTGTGTGTGAGAGAGAGAGACAGAGAGAGCATGAGTGTGTGTGTGTGAGCATGTGCTTGTGTGAATGTGTGTGTGTGTGGGGGGGGGGGGAGGTTTATTATTATCTTTAAAGTTTTCAAACCACCCCACCCCCCACCCCTTGAAAATTCAATTAGCATCAAGGTTCGCCTAACAGCTTAACCAAGGCCTGCTTCCTGACGGATATGCTGTTAGGTGGACACCAATGTAGTAAGAATATTAACTGTAATTCAGTGCAAGCTCTGCTAATATGTATAAAAAGAGACAGACAAAATTATCTTGGTTACTACCAGCTATCTACAGTATGATTTATCCATACTATAGTAGTAACAAATTTTTTAACATGGCACATGACCTCTCCTCTCCTTGACCCATATGCCACACACAAGTTTTATGAAACAAAGAACTTTGGCACATTATCACGCAGGAATTGTTATATATTTTGAACCAGTGCAGCTTTTTTTACGTGTTACAGTTAGCATTGATAAGCACAACTTAATCCCCCCCCCCTAAAATGACTATAATATACACATATAAAAAAAAAATTATAGGAAGTTACAAAAGCAAAGTACAGTAGACCTAGATATATATCTTCTCCATATTCTATGAAGTCAGGAAAAGCATGATTAAATCTGGAACCCAAAGATTTACACTGAGTAGGAAAACCTACACACATATTAAACTTCATGTACCAGTTGTCAGTCTTTCTCTCACGTGGAATTCTGAAATTTTATTAAGTACTAGCTAGCTGAGACTAGAACTAAAAGTAGTCCTTAGTGCCTTAGTATTCAGAATTACTGAAATCTGGATCTTAAGATTACTGATTGTTTATAATTGAAAGTGATAAAAGAATTGCTTTCCTGGCAAAACAATTCTCCAAACAAGTTGCCAGTAGCTGACCGACAACCTCACATGTTCTATCTCCTTTGCAAAATATGAACATGTTTGTGCGTTGTAATAACTTTTTAATTTCGTAGTTTTACTAGAGGTTTTACGGCGCTCGCAACTGCAAAAGGTCATGTAAGCGCCAGAAGATTAAAGGTGTTACAAGAGAGTAACAAACATAAAAAAGAAGAAGGGGAGATAAGGACGACAGATGTTTGATAGGAAAGAAGAAGCAAACCCCACCAAAGCGCCCGCCAACCACCCACTTTGTAATAACTAGCAAACAACATCAAAGCAAAGACAAAGAAAACTTACCTTGCTGGTGATGAAAATATCTTCTCGTTTTACAACCCCCATGACAAAGAGTTCCTTGAGAGCAGTGCCGACGGCTCTTTCATTTCGATAAATGGCCGCACAGTCAATATGGCGGTACCCGGCTCGCACGGCTGACTTCACAGCTTCGATGACTTCTTCCTCTCCCTAGACAAAAAGAAAGTTTTAAAGTCTTTGCAAATCAAATCCTCTTTTCTTTGCTCAACACAGTGAAAAAAACACACTGACACAATGGTCATCCACTGCAGGACATAGCCATCCAACAACAACCTCCACTCAGCTTGTTTATCGGCTGTTTTCCATGTCCAGGTTGTTCCCCTTTGCTCTCTGATGTTCGTATTTCACCTTTAGTTTTAGTTTTTTAGTTTTAGTAAAGAGCACTTGAAACACAATTAATAAGGTCATGTAAGTGCCAAAGAATAGATTATGTGTTACAAGAGAGTAACGTACACACAAAAAAGAAGGAGGGGAGATAAGGACGACAGATGTTTAATAGGAAAGAAGGAGCAAACCACACCAGAGCACCCGGCAACCACCCACATATTTCACCTTAATTCATTGCAAAATAGGCAGACAACAGAAATAAGGAAAGTTGTAAACCATACACACTGCATTTTCAACCAAATACACACAATAAAAATACATGCAAAAGTTGTAAACCATACACACTGCATTTTCAACCAAATACACACAATAAAAATACATGCAATTATCGTACATTAGTGGATATTTGATAGAGAGATAGAGAGAGAGAGAGAGAGAAAGAGAGAGGGAGAGAGAGAGAGAGAGAGGGACAGAGAGAGAGAGAGAGAGAGAGAGAGAGAGAGAGAGAGAGAGAGAGAGAGAGAGAGAGAGAGAGAGAGAGAGAGAGAGAGAGAGAGAGAGAGAGAGAGAGAGAGAGAGAGAGAGAGAAAAGAAAAAGAGTCATAGCGTACCCGCCCCCACCTCACCCCCACCTTCCGAGCTAGAACATTGACAAATAACTTCACTTACATCAAAGGCTAAATAACGTTTGGTTTAATAAAAAATTATTCACCGAATGAAAATTTGCAATCTATGCAGACTACAAACAAAATCAAAGTGATGAATAGCCTGCCAAATTCATTCTCAGTTCAATTGACAGTGTATCTGTCACTGACAATCACATTCTGTCAGCTTTGCAAAGGATGAATGTGCTTGTGTGTTGTAATAAGTATCAGATACTAATCAGGAATATAAAATCCACACTCTTCAAACATTTTACAAGAGAGCAAATTTATTTTGGAAGGATAGCAGCGGAACATATTACGCAATAAGCAAAGTGGGCTTTAAGGGTTAGGATAAGTAGGGAAACCCTAGTGTATGGAGGGAGTCTCTGAATTAGCCGCAAACGTTCCCTCCTTTTCCTATTCAAACAAAGCACTTTACCACTACAATCACTAAATTCAACATTATTATCAGCAACCATGACCTTTCTATTTTCCATAAGGAGCATTACGACCTCATGGGCTTATCAAAGGAAGTTGTACTACTAAACCTGTGTTATGAAACAAAAGGCTTTGCTTATCAGCAAAAGTATCACTATTTCAGTACACCCCAGCCAAGAGAAAGGAAAGGAAATTTAACAATAGTTTGAGTAGAATTCAGTGTTGTAAAATTTAGTGCTGTAGAATGCAGAATGCATGATTTATACCCATCACAGCTTGGAAAAATTAGCATTTTAATACATGGAGCAGAGAATGAAACTTAAACAGCGGTTTCAAAGCAAAATTATTACTAAGTAATTAGTTTTTTAAGATTTTCTAAATTTATGCGTCATATTTTATAATGGCCCCTTGATAGGAAGAAAGTATGGCTCTCAGAAATTTCTGATTAACTGATCTGCTTCTCGAGAACATGCCTATGACTCCCTTTCAGCACTACGAAAATAAACATCAAGACATGCTGAAAAACCTGAGTGCAGAGCCGATGCTATAGAAGGTAGAAGAATTCAAGACGAGCCTAAAAAAATCAAAGCAGACGTTTTTCACCATTCAAAATTAACCAAACTTAATATCGGCTTTGAGACTTCTGCACTTTTGTACATTTGAAGCTGCAGTGTAACAAGGTACTGAAAGCAAAGTTGTGGGACCCACACCGTTCACTCGTTTCATTCCTGATTTGCCAGGTTGGTCTACATTCCCACTCAAACCTTCAGCATAGGGGCTTTCGTGGTCGAGAGGTAATGGTGTTTGCCTCTCATTCAAAAAATCCTGGGTTCGAATCCGGACACAGACGGAAAATTGTTCTCCTTTCACCACCTCTCTTGCTCTCAGACCAGGTTCTGTCGTCTGCTTTCATCTCCACTTTATGCCCCCCTCCCCCTACCTCCTTTGCCCCCTCCTCTGGGCTACTGACTCTTTCTGCAGCCTTTCTACCGCTACTCCTTGGCCCCTTCTCACGGCTGTCTTTCTGCCACACCCCTGATCTTATGGTAGGTAAGATCTAATCCCTAGCCTTCTCGGATAAAGTTGACCGTTAAACATCCCATGGTGGTCCTAAAAAATCTATAAGAGTAGGCTTCGGCCGCCACCAGGGCAAAATCCAAAATTCCCTGCCAACCAAAAAATGTTTAATGTGTCCTGCGCGCTCATATGACCTAATGCAGTTGCGAGCGCTGTAAAACACTTATTTTAAAAAAAACCAGCCTTGAGCACGTTTGTTTGCACATATCTGTCAACTCGGGCAATTTGAAGGCGCTCTGAGAGATAATAGTGGTTCTTCGGTGTGTTATCACACTAAAGAGACTCATTCCTTCATCTTTGTTTATCACGCTGGCTCATATGTCACAAAGTGAAACTTATCTACACGAGACCTTTCGGAATACCGTCTGCCCGGCGGTGACGTCAGCCAACCTGGCGAATTCAGCTTTTGCCTAGAGGACTTGAAAGACAGCTTGTAATTGCCACGAGACTTTTCTGTTACATACAAAGGAAAGACACGTCTGCAGCACAAATACATATTATTTTAAATAATTTCATCAGCTACATTTATTATTCAACCTGACTCTTATTCCTGCTTGTATCTATTGTTTTAGCACATTTATTCCTATAGAATTTTAAGCCATCTATGTTTCTGTTTTGTGTTCTCTTCGTTGCCTATTTCCCGGAGTTACCTTATTTGGCCAGGACCCTGGGTCGGCGATCCCATGTTCCACCCAGTTGAAATAAATAAGCCTAGCAGAGGGAATTTTAATGAGGAAAGGGGAGAGCCCCATTCGGTTGTCAAGAGTCTGGGCCTAAAACAACAC